GCGAATCAAACCAGGCGAACTGGAATTCGATACAAATTTCAGGAAATATTCGATTCGCGTCGAATCCGAAATTTTGCCTACTTCGGGTGCGCGAATCGAATATTTCCCGATCAGCCGGCAAAAGTGTCCCTGCAGTGAGCTCCGCTATTTCTGACAGTTCTCTGACAGAAGGAACACATGTAAAGCGGTTGAAACATTGTATCTATTAGTTTCCATTTAGGATACAGATGTTTCAACCGCTGTACATGTGAAGAAGCTGTCAGAGAACTGTCAGAAATAGAGGAACTCTGCACATACACTTTTTGCCGGTTTGGAATTCTTATTTTCATCCTACTTCTTCTTCTTCTTGTTCATCCTCATCCTCAGAAGAAGAGGATGAGGATGAAGAAGAAGAAGAAGAAGTAGGATGAAAATAAGAATAATTCCAAGCCGGCAAAAAGTGTATGTGCAGAGCTCCTCTATTCTGCAGATACACTTAGAGGAGCTCTGCAGATACACTTAGAGGAGCTCTGCACATACACTTTTTGCCGGCTTGGAATTAATCTTATTTTCATCCTACTTCTTCTTCTTCTTCTTCTTCTTCTTCTTCTTCATCCTCATCCTCATCCTCAGAAGAAGAAGAAGAGGACGAGGATGAGGATGAAGAAGAAGAAGAAGAAGTAGGATGAAAATAAGAATAATTCCAAGCCGGCAAAAAGTGTATGTGCAGAGTTCCTCTATTCTGCAGATACACTTAGAGGAGCTCTGCACATACACTTTTTGCCGGCTTGGAATTATTCTTATTTTCATCCTACTTCTTCTTCATCCTCATCCTCATCCTCTTCTTCTTCTTCTGAGGATGAGGATGAAGAAAGAAGAAGAAGAAGAAGTAGGATGAAAATAAGATTAATTCCAAGCCGGCAAAAAGTGTATGTGCAGAGCTCCTCTAAGTGTATCTGCAGAGCTCCTCTAAGTGTATCTGCAGAATAGAGGACTCTGCACATACACTTTTTGCCGGAAACCGCTGTATGGAGGGAATGTCCCAGAACTGTCAGAAATAGTCTATTTCTGACAGTTCTGGGACATTCCCTCCATACAGCGGTTGAAACATTGTATCTATTTGTTTCCATAAATGGATCCATTTATGGAAACAAATAGATACAATGTTTCAACCGCTGTATGGAGGGAATGTCCCAGAACTGTCAGAAATAGTCTATTTCTGACAGTTCTATGACATTCCCTCCATACAGCGGTTGAAAACCGCTGTATGCAGTGAATGTCCCAGAACTGTCAGAAATAGACAGAAACTGTCACAGAACTGTCCTTCTTCTCATCCTTCTCCTTCTTCTCATCCTTCTTCTCATCCTTCTTCTCATCCTTCTCCTTCTTCTCATCCTTCTCTCATCCTTCTTCTCATCCTTCTCCTTCTTCTCATCCTTCTTCTCTCATCCTTCTCCTTCTTCTCATCCTTCTCCTTCTTCTCATCCTTCTCCTTCTCCTTCTTCTCATCCTCTCCTTCTTCTCATCCTTCTCCTTCTTCTCATCCTTCTCCTTCTCCTTCTTCTCATCCTTCTTCTCATCCTTCTCCTTCTCCATCTTCTCATCCTTCTCCTTCTCCTTCTCTCTCTTCATCCTTCTCCTTCTGCTTCTCCTTCTTCTCATCCTTCTCCTTCTTCTCATCCTTCTCCTTCTTCTCATCCTTCTCCTTCTTCTCATCCTTCTCCTTCTTCTCATCCTTCTCCTTCTTCTCATCCTTCTCCTTCTCCTTCTTCTCATCCTTCTCCTTCTGCTTCTCCTTCTCCTTCTTCTCATCCTTCTCCTTCTTCTCATCCTTCTCCTTCTTCTCATCCTTCTCCTTCTTCTCATCCTTCTTCTCATCCTTCTTCTCATCCTTCTCCTTCTTCTCATCCTTCTCCTTCTTCTCATCCTTCTCCTTCTCCTTCTTCTCATCCTTCTCCTTCTTCTCATCCTTCTCCTTCTCCTTCTTCTCATCCTTCTCCTTCTTCTCATCCTTCTCCTTCTCCTTCTTCTCATCCTTCTCCTTCTTCTCATCCTTCTCCTTCTCCATCTTCTCATCCTTCTCCTTATCCTTCTTCTCATCCTTCTCCTTCTCCTTCTCCTTCTTCTCATCCTTCTCCTTCTCCTTCTTCTCATCCTTCTCCTCCATCTTCTCATCCTTCTCCTTCTCCTTCTTCTCATCCTTCTTCTTCTCCTTCTCCTTCTCCTTCTTCTCATCCTTCTCCTTCTCCTTCTTCTCATCCTTCTCCTTCTCCTTCTTCTCATCCTTCTCCTTCTTCTCATCCTTCTTCTCATCCTTCTCTTCTTCTCATCCTTCTTCTCATCCTTCTCTTCTCATCCTTCTCCTTCTTCTCATCCTTCTTCTCATTCCTTCTCCTTCTCCTTCTTCTCATCCTTCTCCTTCTCATCCTTCTCCTTCTTCTCATCCTTCTCCTTCTTCTCATCCTTCTCCTTCTCCATCTTCTCATCCTTCTCCTTCTTCTCATCCTTCTCCTTCTCCTTCTTCTCATCCTTCTCCTTCTCCTTCTTCTCATCCTTCTCCTTCTCCTTCTTCTCATCCTTCTCCTTCTCCTTCTCCTTCCTCATCTCCAAGGGCATTTAAATTAAAGGTACAGTGTTCTGCACTAATTTAAAGGCTCTCTGAAGCCTAGAAACCCTTTTTATAAGTCATCTTCGTAGCGAATAAATTCGCATCGAATCAAATTTCTTCCTGAAATTCGCCGAATCAGCTGAATCGAATTTTTGAATACTTCGCTCATCTCTAGTTGTCATCCAAAAGAACATTTGCGAGGCCAGGTGTTGATGTAGAGGGAGAAGACCTGGCTTGCAATCAACATTCCAGTTCATCCCAAAGGTGTTTAGTAGGGTTGAGGTCCAGGCTCTGACCTCAACCCAATCACACCTACATCAGTTTGTTAGTTATCCCATTCCAAAACCATGGACAGTAATATGAGGTTGCTCCCCCCCCCCATCCCGAGCAGCCATAACAGCCATACAGCCTACACTCTTTTGGGAAGACTTTCCACAAGATATTGGAATGTGTCTGTGGGAATATTGGCCCATTCAGCCACAAAAGCATTTGAGAGGTCAGGTACTGATGTTGCATATGAAGACCTGCCTAACAATCAACAGTGAAGTTTATCCCAAAGGAGTAAATGTACATTAATATGGAGTTGGCTTCCCATTCCCATAACAGCCTCCACTCTTCTGGGAAGTCTTTCCATAAGATTTTCAGAGTGTGTCACTGGGGATGTTGGCCCAGTCATCCAAACGAACATTTGTGAGGCCAGGTGCTGATGTTGGATGAGAAGACCTATCTTGTAATCAACATTCCAGTTCATTCCAAAGGTGTTCAATAGGGTTGAGGTCAGGGCTTCCCATTTGTGCCTAGATGAGCCTTCAGTCTTATGGGAAGGCTTTCAACAAGATTTGGGGAGTGTGTGTCAGTGGGAATATTGGCTCATTCATCCAAAAGAACATTTGTGAGGTCAGGTGCTAATGTTGCATTAATGTTGCAATCAACATTCTAGTTCATCCCAAAAGTTTTCAGTAGGGTTGAGGTCTGAGCTCTGACTTCAACAAAATTGCACCTATATCACTTTGTTGCTTATCCCATTCCAAAACCATGGGTAGTCAACCAAGTTGACGACCCCTCCCAACCATAGCTGGGAAGACTTTACGTAAGATTTTGGTGTGTGTCTGTTGGAATACTGGCCTATTCATCCAAAAGAACATTTGTGAGGTCAGGTATTCATATGAGGTAAGAAGGTCTAGCTCATAGTTGGCTTCTAATTCAAGGTTTCCATTAGAGTTGTAAGTGTAAGGGAAGGCTGTCATCCAAACGAAGTAAAAAATAGGACTATCCAGTTCAACTTGCCAGCCTACCCCAGTCTAATAATGGCTATTGTCAGCAAGGAACATGGATAAGTATAACTTATCAAAAGAGGGGGATAAGAAATCCAGTTCAAACTGCCAGCCAGTTAGCCAACTATCAAAAACCAAATTAACCTGTCTAAGAACATGCGTTTAAAAACAGGGGTTTAGTTAGCACACATTTGCAAATACATACGTAAGCCACAGAGCCACATCACGGCACCCTGAGTATCTGTGGTCCTAACTCTATAAATCTTGAGAGTCCTCACAATGGAGGCACATGCATTTAAATGGATAGAAACAAGGGCAGGTGAACCCGTTTTTTTCTTTGTATGTCATCCAAACGAGCATTTATAAGGTCAGGTACTGATGTTGCTTGCGAAAATCAGTTTGCAATCATTGATCCAGTTCATCCTAAAGGTGTTCAGTAAGGTTGAGATTAGAGCTCTGACCTCATACCTATTACACCATTGTGAGTTTGTTGGTCATCGCATTCCAAAACCGTGGACATTATTAAGGAGTTGGCTCACCCTTTGCAGCAAAAACAGCATCCACTCTTGTGAGAAGGCTTTCCACAAGAATTAGGAGTGTGTTTGTGGCAATGTTAGACATTCAGCCAAAAGAGCATACTGTATGTGAGGTCCTACTCATATGAGATGAGAAGAGCTAGCTCATGGTCAGCTTGTAATCCATTCCAAAGGTGTTCATTAAGGTTAAAAGCGCAAGGGAATGCAAGAACCCCTTATTGAAAAGGTTAGGTGCTGATGTTGGGTGAGAAGACCTGGCTTTCAATCAATGTTCCTGTTAGGGATCCGGGTATGACCAGAAATGTGTGGACTGACACAGGGAAGTAGCAGGCTTCAGGAACACAGGCGTAGTCAGGCTGGAGAGGTGGAATGGTCAGGCGGGCCGTAAGGTACTGTCAGGCACCGCCCGGCGGGATCTCTAGTGACCCACAGACCAGGATTCCCCAGGGCGCGGAGTCTAAGCCCCAGTCTGCCTTTTCACCAGAGCCCCTGATGGTGGGGGATGGACTTGGCGCAGGACTGAGACCAGGTCGCGGCCCCTAAGTGCACCCAACTGTGGTAGAGGGGTCCACCGAGGGTATGTACTGGGGGAAAGCCTGATGTGAAGGGGCTGGCAGGTTTGGAGAGTAGTGACTGGATCCGTGTGGAATGGATAGATCGTCTGGGTAGTGTCAGGCGTAGTCAGACAGGCCAGGTCAGCAACGTGCGGGCAGTGAGGTACCGGAGGAGCAGGCAGAGAATAGTCAGGGTCACAAGCTGGGTTCAGTAACTCACGGGCAGCGCGGTACAGAGGATTAGGCAGAAGGATGGTCAGGCAAGCCAGGGGTTCAACAGGAGATGGTCAGCAGAGGTCAGGATCAAAGCAGGGTCAGCAACGAGGCAGGAACACAGGATACCAGGTACAGGGGCTCATGGGAAACATACACCAAGGCCCTGATCACAGGCCTGGTCATTCCTTAAATACACTTCCTGTAATCAGCTTCAGGTGTTGGCTGACTGCAGGAGTGAGCTTCTGGCTGCTGAGAGCACCCGCTGGTCAGCCCTGGTACTGCAGCCCACATGGTAGGTGAGTCCCACCACCAGTGCTGAGTCCATTCCTGACAGTTCCTGTTCATACCAAAGGCGTTCTGTAGGGTTGAGGCCATGGCTCTGTGGAGATCTTTCAAGTTCCTCCACACTACACTAGTCCAGCTACTGTATGTATTTATAAACATTCAGTCACAGTGTGGCCAAGAACACTATGGGCTGCAAGGAGAAAGCAGCTAAAAGAGGGTGGAGCGACTAGCTCTGCTTGGGACCAAGAATCGACACATTACTACATTAAAAGGCAGCATGGGATCCAACTAACCAGCAACCATGCAAAACTAAAATATCAGTTTTCAGTGAAGTTGGCTTTTAACTATTGCTCTATGCAATCTGTTCCTTCTTTTTTTTTTTTCACTCTATTATTTTTTTAACACCACTTCAATAGTCCATATAAAAGTAAGATACTAATTTAATAACCCAAGCACCAGATTTAAATTAATTAGATTTTGCTATAAAACAGCGAGGTAGGAATTTACATGAAAATGACTCTCAGTATATAGGGATGGTGGCTCGCAAGCCTACCAGAACCAATTAAGCTGGGAAACAAAAGGCATTGCTGCCTCAGCATGCCGACTGCCTCGTAATGAAAAAGGTGTTTAGAAGAAAAGTAACGTTGGAAATGATATTAAAAAAAAAAATCAGATTATAAAGGATGTTTCAACCATCTGCAAGTAAATAAAATGGAATGAATAATTATGGAATGTGGTAAAAGAAAGACGTTTTAATTGGAAGGAGCAGACATTGGGGAGCCCATCTGAAATGAAGGCTTTTGCGTGCCAGCGTTTTATGACCAAGGGCAGCTAAAGTCACAGGCGTTTCAAGCGACAATATAACACTGATGGCGTAAGGAAGAAAAAAAAAAAAAGTTGACGCTGCATTAAGTCCTCGTTAATTAAGCATTAATAGTGCCCAGTACCTGAGATATTATCAACGAGAGAATTATGCAAGAAGCACTCAAGAAGTCTCGATGAAAGGGAAAATCCGAAGTAGTGGTCATTTTTGTGCAAAAATGGATATAACGTGTGTCGTTGCTCGTTTTTTAAAAGTTCTCTAAAGGTCTTATCTGTAGACTCCAAGATCCAATTTTGGGATTCTTTGGCTGAATCAGTTGAGGCTTCTAATGGGAATCAAATCAAAGCCCCAAAGAAACGTTTCAGAGGATATTGTCAGGGCTCCGGGTATGATCTGAGGTATGTGAACTGACGCAGGGAAACGCAGGCTTCAGATATGTTATAAACAATATAATTTATTAATACTAACAATACAAAACGCAGTGCAATACTAAAACATAAACACAGTGCAAACGAACCAAACCAAACCACCCACAGATAACAATACATACAAGCAAGAGTCGTCAGGCAAGCCGGGTCAATAACAATCGGGCAGGTAGGAACAGGAGGAGCAGGCAGAGAGTAGTCAGGTCACGAGCCGGGTACAGCAACTAACGGGCAGGTAGGTACAGGGGGTCAGGCAGAGAATGGTCGGGGTCACAAGCCAGGGATCAAACAGGAGAAGTCAGCAGAGGTCCGGATCAGGCAGGGTCAGCAACAAGTCAGTCAGGCAGGAACAGGAACGCAGGTTACAAGATACAGGGGCCCATGGAAAAACACACACCAAGGCACAGACTGCAGGTCTGGCCATCCCTTAAATACACCTCCGTAATCAGCTTCAGGTGTTTGGCTGACTGCAAGGTTGAGTCTCTGATTGCTGAGAGCACCCGCTGGCCAGCCCTGGTACTGCAGCCCACAAGGCAGGTGAGTCCCACCGTTATTGGCAAGTCCATTCCTGACAGATATAGACAATTGGACAGATTTGGAAAGCATGTTTCGTCTGTTGTACTGAAGGTTTGCCATAGATTTGCAACTCTTAGAAACCAATGGATGGCCTCAGTTTGGCCATACTTATATAGAGATATATTAGCCCCTCCTCAAACAAGTGATAGCCTTGCGCAACATTCTCTGCCTATTGATTTTTACAGCAAAAATACCACAAAAATCAATAAAGTAACTTTTGCTCATTTCTTTAGTGCATCGAAAAATCAATTTTTGTGGTTAAACAAAAGCTAATAATGCGTGGTAATTTAGATACCTTATGCATTATGTTTTTGTAAATGACCTATCCATTTTATATTGCATCCAGCTATGATTTTCATTAAAAAAAACCCAAACTATTCTTTTGCAACCATGGCAACAATACTTATTTTCCACAGAGGTTTTCCCAGAGTTATCATACCCCAGCTCATTGCTCTGAAGTACAGATGGTGGCACAAGAACCCAACCTTATAGGCTTACAGAATTCTGCTCAATGAGCTCACCCAGATCTGCCCAAGGTTTGCAAAGGTTGTTGTTCCTGCATACGGAGGGGCTACCCTTGCAAACCAATATCTGATGTGTTTTGTGTGATATCATTTGACCGATAGAAGAGAGAATTGGCTCTGATGGATAGACAGTGGAGTGCGTTTTCTTTCAAGGAAGCAGATCTGTGATGGAAGTATAGTTTATCTAGACCTTGTTCTGGTCTTAGGCCGGCGACAAAGGGATCACTCAATAGACAGTAAACTCTTACATGCATACTGAAGAGCACCTAGTGCACATGACTGTATCATTTAAAGGACTTTTTGAAAAGTTTATTGATTAAGAACATCAAAGACAGCCAACACGTTTCAGGGGAAAAGCCTTTCTCTTTTTTAGGGGGGCTTGAGCTGTGCATGTTATTAGAACCACGATGGAATGCACTAGAGCAATGGCTCTCAACCACCAGGCCGAGGCTCACTACTGGGCAGGCTTTTGTCCTTCCAAGCCTCCAGCTAGCTGCAGATACTCTAACCTCGTACAGTGCTTTCCAGCTCCCATAGTGACCAACAGTGCCCCATACAGACTCCCTGAGAACCCTCAGCACCACAGTGCCACCCAAGGTCTTGCAATACCCCCTAGGTTCCTGTAGAGCCTCCAACCCCCCAAGAGTCCCCTACAATCTCCAACAGTGCCCCTGTAAAGCCTCCAGCCTCCTGAATAGACCACATCCACCAAATAGGGGGTCATGGCGATGACGGGAGGGGTGTGTGTGTCTGCACCATTACCTCCCCAGCATAGCAACAAGTTAATTTTTTTAACCCCTTTTACAATTGTCTAACACATATGTGCAAAGGCAAACGAGCAGTCTTTAATGCCCCCACATGTCGCACATATGTGTCATATGCTTATGTGCTGAGGCCGAGCTGTCAAAAACAGCTATTGGTCCAGACCAAAGATCGGTAGTTTATGGGACCAGTGGTCACATGAACACCGATCCTTCCCACCGCCTCGGGGATTCAGAACTGTTTAAAGCAAGGGTATTGCATTAAAATTCAAGGAGGTCCGGTCACTAAAAACTTCTGGCCGAGGTCCGAAAATAAATGTTCCCATTAGTGTTGCCCCTTACATCAGGTTCCCCCTCCAGAGTAATTTATTACATTGGGTGCCACCATCAGACTTCCCCCATAAATCAGTTGCCACCGTCAGAGTACCCCCCTATATCAAGTGTCCCTATCAGAGCGCCCCCTTAACTAATGTGTTTCCAATCAGAGTGCCCCCATACATCAGGCATTTCCTGCCCCCTTACACTGGGAATTCCAATCAGAGTGCCCCCATACATCAGGCATTCCCATCAGAGTGCCCCCTTACATCAGGTTTCTGCATCAATACCCCCTTACATTTGGTGTCTCCCATCAGTGTGCCCCCTTACATCAGTTGTCCCCATTAGAATGCCCCATTATATAAGGTTCCCCCATCACGGGGACACCTTACATAATGTGTGCCCATCAGAGTGCAACTTTACATCATGTATTCCTATCACATCAGGTGTGCCCATCAGAGTGCTCCTTCACATCAGTTGTCTCCATCAGAGTGCTCCTTTACATCAGGTATCCCCATCACAGAGTCACCTTACATCGGGTATTCCCGTCAGAGTGCCCCCTTACATTCAAAGTACCCCTTTCTATCATATTTCCCCATAAAAGTGCCCCTTTACATCATATTCCCCATCAGAATGCCTTTTTACATCACATGTGCCCATCAGAGTGCCCATTTCCACAGTATGTGCCCCCTTAATGTGTGCCCATCAAAGTACCCCCTTAACATAAAAGATGCCCATCAGAGTGCCCCTTAACATAAAATAAGTGGCATGCTGATGGGCACATTTTCTATTAAGGGGCACTCTGATGGGCACATTCTATGTTAAGGGGACTCTGATGGACACATTTTATGCTAAGGGACACTCTGATGGGCACATTCTATGTTGAGCCCTTTAGAGTGCCCCCCTTAACATTAAATGTGCCCATTAGCATTACCCTTTAACAATAAATGTGCCCATCATAGTGCCCCCTAATATAAATGTACCCATCATAGTGCCCCCTAATATAAATGTGCCCATCATAGTGCCTCCTAATATAAATGTGCCCATCAGAGTACCCCTTAATATAAATGTGCCCATCAAAGTGCCCCCTAATATAAATGTGCCCATCATAGTGCCCCTTAATATAAATGTGCCCATCATAGTGCCCCCTAATATAAATGTGCCCATCAGAGTACCCCTTAATATAAATGTACCCATCATAGTACCCTTTAATATAAATGTGCCCATCATAGTGCCCCCTAATATAAATGTTCCATCAGAGTACCCCTTAATATAAATGTGTGCCCATCATAGTGCCCCCTAATATAAATGTGCCCATCATAGTACCCCCTAATATAAATGTGCCCATCATAGTACCCCTTAATATAAATGTGCCCATCATAGTGCCCCCTAATATAAATGTGCCCGTCAATGTGCCCGTCATAAATGTGCCCATAGTAATATAATATAAATGTGC